GTTTCCAATCGCTGATTTTCCAGTTAAAACTTTTGCTAAAAACATATATCGTTCACCCAGTGTGTTTGTAATTGCATAACTGTGACTGTATTCAGCTGATGCTGAAAAATAACATCCCTTGCCATACACAATTTCTATCAAAGTGCAGAATGAATTTATTTGTTTTTCTGTTTGTGAATCAAAGCCGTGCATGACACTATCTACCGTTAAGGGTGGCCTTTAGTCCTTTTCCCTATGCTGCTATTTACTCAAAAAAAAGGCTTAGAGAGCTGAAATTGTTACCACTTGATCGGTTTCGTATTCAGGTGTAATCTTTTACAGGTTTGAGTTTCCGAGGGTTTATTGAAGTAGTAGGGTCTGTCATCCAATGAGGCATTTCCGCAAAAAACCGCAAAAAACACATTTTGTGAACAATTGCACGCGTTTCTTGCCGTTTTTGATGATTTTAGAACGTGCTTGCTGCGTTTTAGAAAGTTTTGCGCTCGAATTTGGCGGTTTTTGTTTAAGAACGGTATGAAACATTCGCAGAAGCCCGCAGTTCACGCGTAAAATGAAAACTTAGCATGGCACATGAGCATTTTTAAAAAATGCTGGAACATACGCAATTTTGAGAAATTCGCTCGCAAGACTGGCGTTTCCAAAACTATTCGGAAAAACGAGTTGCAAAAATGTTCGCGATTACCAAACTATCTTAGGGACTCCTTTTACAAAGAGCATAAGCACCAAAAACGCAAAAGCCGCGTTCTGAGAACAACTGGCGCTTGATAAGTTGAAAATCTAGAGCAATAAACGTTTACCCCGTGTTACCTCGCAAAAAAACCCACGCGTTTTCTGCCGTCTTTTTTAAATTCTCATGGGTTGATAAAAATTTGATTCCTATCACCCAAAAGTAGGGGTTGCCCTAAGCTTATATATCTGCTTAAAGACTTTCAAATGAGTTTTTACCAAGTTTTTGCTTTCGTTCCTATATTCCCCACAGAAAATAAAAATTAACCGTCAACCCGATTTCTATGATGGTTCTTTCTATAAAAGTCTCGTAGCTGCATCAAAACAGAAGGTATGCCAATCAGGTTTGTTTGGCTTTGATCAGAAATGATTGCACTCCTCTGACTAGCTGCAACATCAAAACATCGATCACCTTTTCGGTTTTTGCTGAGTACATTGCCGAAAATGAGAGGGTTAATTCTCGAAGTATTCTTGAAACTTGAATCTCAAGCACACCATCTTCTATAAAGCAGATATTTTAGAGACCACAAGAAAGAGTAAATTTAAAAGTACCGAATACCAATGAGTACTCACTTTCATACCCGGTCGAACAGAAATATTAAGAAAAGAAAATTTTCAGGTAAAAGACAACTAAATTTATGAAGTTCTTAGTTTTTGCCTCGCGTATAATTTGCTACGTTTTTCTTAATCGGAGTTCTGAAAGTAAAGTTTAAGTATGATTTTGAAGAGCATTTTTCAGCGCTTCGATTTAAAACAGGCACCTGTTCTGATAAATCTAAGTAACAGAACTTAGAGCAAAATACCGAGATCAAGATCACGGTTAATTTTTATTTTCTGTGGAGCATGTTTCGGCTTGTAACTTTCTCACTATATGAGGTAGAATGGTCAATCAAGCGCCATTTTGTAGAGCGTGTTCTGCTGCATCTTTTCACACTAGAGACACATTTTTAATCATGTATTTTACTAAAGAAAAACTAACCATTCAAATCGAGTCAGGACTTCTGGGCCACCCTTTATACAATGCATATAAACACTGGAAATTGAGTCCAGTCCAGTTTATTTATTTTCTAATATAGTCTACAGTGCGCTTAGGAGCTAAGTCGTAAAAAGAACCAACACTTCGGAGTGGATAAAATCAAAGTGTAAAAAGTAATAAGAATAAATGAAAACGAGAAGCGCGTTTTTTTACTAGTTTTTTAACTCTTTCTGAACGATTAATTTGATGGCGAAATGCGCGTAATTAAGTCCAGAAGATGATGCCAGTTTGAGGCATTTGTATAGCAAAAAAAACGAAACTGCTTGTGACATGAAACTATAGTTTTGGAAGTATTCTTTATTTCTTCTTTAACGATTAACAAAAACATTCTACTGGTGATTTTAACTTTGCGATCTTTCCCAGATGTTTGTATTTGTTTGTTGCAACTATTTGATAAAAGGAAGGTATCTGAAAGCCATTAGTTTTGCCGCTGTGAATATCAACATAAATCATCTTCATCTGTTATTGTTGGTTTGTATTTGTGGTTTAAGAACTAGCATCAACAAATTGTTTATTCTGCTTTTAAAATTGATACAGTAGAGATATTCATTTAAACTTACTGAAGGGAACAGACGTGTAACGGAGTTTGTCTCATCTTTCATATGTACATTTATTCACTTTTTAGATTCACACTACACCGATCAGTTAATTCGTTTTCGAACAAAATGGTGAGACTGACTGTTGCATGATAGGCAGCTAATATCATGTGTCTATTTTGGTTTATTTATAATATTTTAGGGAAAAAAGCAGCATCAGCAAGATAAAATGTATTTGACCGCTACCGTAAGTAGATCTGACACCATTTTTTTATACTTAATAATAAGTTTTTCGATTTTTGTAGGAATGGAAAACATATTATGGAGGACACAAAGGCGTTCAACATATTGGGGGTGAATTTCGTCGACTTCCATTTTCATGCTGTTCAATTTCATTTCTACCATTTGAAAATCCATATTGCTCTCCGGAAGGCATAATATTTGATCTCGAAAATATTGTACCGTTTCTAAAGAAATATGGTAAGAGAAAACACGCGTTGTCATGACAATATTTATTTGGTTCATTTTTTTTGGTTATTTAGGCAGAAATCCTGTGACAGGTGAAAAACTTGATGCACGCAATTTGATTAAATTAAATTTTCATAAAAATTCACGTGGAGAATATCATTGTCCAATAACGTATAAAATTTTTAATGAAAATTCACATATTGTGAGCATTCGACCTAGTGGAAATGTCTATAGTTTAGATGCTATTGAACGTTTAAATGTAAAACCAAATAATTTTCAAGATTTACTCACATCCGAACCATTTGTAAAAAAAGATATTATCACATTACAAGATCCACAAAATTTGGATAAATTCAATATAGTCAGTTTTAAACATTTAAAAAATGAATGGAAATTAGAAGGGGAAGAAGATGAACGAGCAAGACGAAGTGATCCCACGTATTTTTTAAAATGTGTTAATAATGAAACAGCTGCTGTTTTAAATCAATTGAAAAAGACATCAAAGTCATCAACGAATGAATTTACGAGCATATCTCTTAAAGATAATTCAAATAATAACGAATCGACGATGGCAACAAAAGCTGATAGTGTGAATATAGCTCCGTATTCAACAGGTCGACTAGCAGCATCGTTTACATCAACGATAATGGAACCAGTGACACACATGGAAGCAGCAAAATTAGATGAAGATGATATACGATGGGCTAGAATGGCAAAGTCAAAGAAAAAGGGCTATGTTCGTATGGTAACAAATATGGGACAAATTAATATTGAATTATTTTGTGATCAATGCCCACAAACGTGTGAGAATTTTATTAAACATTGTGCAAATAAATATTATGTGGGAAGCAAATTTTTTCGTTCAATTAAAAATTTTATCGTAAGTATTTTGAAATATAAGCACAGGAATAAATATCTTTTTGACATTCGTGAAATATTTGAGAGAATACTGGAAACTCAGACTGTATTCAACTGAAATCATTAGTTTTCAATGTAGCTATATCATCACAAGTACACTTATGACCATATATTGATTCCATTAACAGGAATCGTCTCTCTTGAAGTGGTCAGTCGTCTTGGTAAAATAACGAACCAAACTCTATGTTTCTCGGGAAAACACAAGATACGTGCATATGTTGATGATACTTCTTTCAGTTTCGGTCATAATGCAAGTTCAAAAACTATGCTCTCTACCTATTCATGCTGAAATGTACTCAGTATCTGGTATTTTTATCAAGTTTTAACTAAAAATTAACAACGAAACAACAAGTGAAACTCTGAGAAACTTTATTTAAGTATAAGACATGTGACTTGAACGCGAGGCGCTGCAGATGTCTTTGTATATGTTATGTGTTTGTATTCTAACTTACGCGATCACGTAGTACAGTGACATTTAGAATTACGATAACTTGACATATACATCAAGATATTGAGAAAGTAGAACATAAACGCTGAAAGGAAAATCATATAAAGCCATCCTGTTAGTGAATCAGAAAAACACCTCTTTCTTACCCTTCGAAGAGGTTTAACCAGAATTTTCATATTTAGCATCGCACCGTTGCATTAGAATACAGTCTTTACTGAGTTATTATCTTGAGGATATTGAGAACATTCTTTTAAAAAAACGCAATATATTTACAATGTTTTTGTTTTGACCTTAACAGGTGCAAGGTGGAGATCCTACAAATACTGGTCATGGTGGTCAATCAATTTGGGATAAAACGTTTAAAGACGAAATTCACGTAAAATTAGAACATACTGGTCGTGGAATGTGAGAAACATTTTTACATGTCTAATAAGGTTTTCAAACATCAATCTCTTACCACTTTAGGTTATCAATGGCAAATTTTGGTCCGAACACGAATAAATCACAATTGTATGTCTATACTTTTTCTTTTTCTTTTATAATCCTGTATTCATGTATCTCTTTAGTTTTTTCACTTACCGCTCATGTAAAAGTCTTAATGGAAAACATACAGTATTTGGAAAGTATGATAAAAACATGTAGCAAAATCCTTTATCTAAAGTTGTTCACTTTCGCTTTTTATTTATTTAGAATAGTTGGCGGTATAGAAACACTTAGTAAAATAGAAGCTATTCCTACTGATTCAAAAGATGTTCCAGAAGTAAGCGGCAACGACTATCTACGTTCTACTTCGTCGATGCTTCATTTTCGGTTGTTTTTTTTTTTTGTTAGGAAGACGTTATTATTGAAGATACAATCGTTTTTGTTGATCCATATGAAGAAATTGATGAAAAAGTAGGTAACACTATCTAATACTTATTTATTTATTAAGTAGCGTGTGATCTGTTCAGATTAGAAAAGAACGAGAGAAAGCGACAAAAGAAGAAGAAGAAGAAGAAAAACGTCGGCGTTCACTGTTTACTGTAAAATCAGCTACAACGACGAAATCTGATTCATCATTAAATACTACGAATAAAGTATATCGTCCAGGTGTGGGAAAATATATTTCAAACCAACTATTTAAGTAAGTTTACAAATGAGCTAACGTTTATATTAATTATTTTCGTTTTCTATCTTCTTGTAGCTCTAAACCAGTGCGGTCAGCTGAAGATGAGAGTGAATATTCTTTGAAGAAAAAACGTAAAATTGCAGCAGCAACAACAATTGGCACACTTAATTTCAGCCAGTGGTGATTGTATATTCAAATTATGATTTTAATCTACTAGACGAAACTTTTGTTTTTCATTGTTGTTGTATATATCAATGTTTGTCGATCAACTTTTTCCACTTTGCTGTATAAAATTATTTCCCTTAAAACCAATCAATCTTTGTATTTCAGATTAGAAAAGAGTTCTTTTTTTTTGGATTAAACGTCAATGTTCTTATCAACATTTTCATCTTTTTTAATTTTTAGACAGATAAGAAATCAAAAAGGCGTCACATTTTTCTTTCTTTTTACGTTAATGAATACGATGACCGGCGTAGCGTCGAATAATATTCAGGTACAGAAAGAAAATTTTACTGTGAACAATAATTTCATATTTGACATTTTTCTTTGATAATTTTATAGAAAATTCTTCGCCGTCATGTTCCTTTGATAAAGTTTAAATTTGGTGGCAATGGGATAGGTAAAAATTCATCTAGTAAGTTTCTCTTAACCTTTTATTTAAAAAAACGCTTTGTACCTTATTTTCTCGTAGGTTCTATTGTTCATTCAAAAACATCAAAAGAAGCTGAGTCAAAGCCCACATTATCCGCTAACATGTCGAAAACTGTTGAAAAATCATCACCTATTGAATTTACAGAATTACCGAAAAGATATCGCAGAAGGCCATTGACCCAAGATGAAATAGATTTAGTAGCTGTACGTTTTATCTGTTCTCATCTTGATATATTTATTATGGTAATGATACATTTTGTTTTAGAGAGGCGGTCCTGCATAGTCAATTTTCTTCCATAATCCATAGACTGATCTCTATTTTTTTTGCTAGTATTTGCATGACTGTCCTTTTATTTATGAAATCTTTTTTTGTAGACGTTTTTATTTTGCAAATAGATACATATCATCTCACTCGAGGTCGATATTTTAGATTTTTGTCATTTTGATCAGCATCGAATACTTTAAAAGCCGCTGTAACACCATCACTCGGTTTCCATGAATCAAGTTGTTTCACTTCTTCAATCAAATTTGTTTCTTCTCGTCTTAGTTGTTTTTCTTGAAATGTTTCATTATCGTTTATTCCTGTTTGATTTAACAGAACACATGTTGATTCTCTTGCCGATTTTGTTCGACCAAATTGTACGGCAGGCAGTGTACAACCGAATTTATAAAAATCAGGTGATTGTTCAACAAAACGATAACTTTTATCGCCATTTGTCGATTGACTTAAACCATTTCGACAATCGAAAACTCGTCTTTTTTGTCCAATCATTTTTTTCAAGTCTCTATCGCCTAAATCTTCTATTGAACGCAAATGAATGTTACTGAATAAATTACGTTTTGATGAATCTCGATATGAATCAGAGAAATATTTCCATTCGTTTGTTGTTTGTTGCCAATTTTGTGGATAAGAGCGAATATAATGTAAATTTTGTTCTAATAGACTAACTGGATATGTTGGTTTTGTATTAGGATTTCGTGGTGCAGGAATATATCGAAGACGAGAACGCCAATCTGGACCAATACTAAAAGTTGAAGAAAAAAAAATGTTTTTAGAGACAAAAAAAAAGTAATCGATCTGTTCAAGGTGAAACGATTGTAGAGTTTTATATTTGATGCTCGTTGATATAATCAATTACATCTTACTTTTGTTAATGGTTTACACAACTAGAAAGTGCACAATACGTTCTTTTTTTACTCTTTTTTTGTGATATAGATTCATTATTATTTATGTGGTTTCAACTTAATTTTTAAATCGATGATACGTTTTGTGAAGAATAATATTAATTCTTTTTGCCGTTAAGTAAACTACACTTCTGCTGTTTGATAGAAAGAACGAAAAAAGAAAATAACAACTGCTCGTCAAAAAAAATTTTTATTCTTTTCTTCCATTCTTCTATTTTTTGTTCAACAATTGTAGTCATACATAAAATTTTGAAAAAACTTAATTTGATTGCAGGTCAAAATCTATTCTATATAGCAGTAACTTGCTTAGACATACTCTGAATATTTTGGTTCAATGTGTCGACCATGTGGAATCCATTTGACATCTTCTAACTCTGGTGAATTTATTCGTTGACGACCTCGTGGTTTATAAACTGATACGCTTGTTGTTAAATGTTCGGGAAAATGTCGACGATCATATCCTTAAAAAAAATATATATTTTTAATGTAAAAAAAAAAGAGTTATTTTTATGATATAACAACATCATTTCACAGTAAATTTCAACACATCCAACTTATATGTGACAGATTCTATTTAAATTTTGTCTACAAGTAAATGTTTCTTTCAAGTACATCTGAGACTTTTTCCAGTGAACTCGTTCTCGATTTGTGTAGATAAACGATAGAATTCTGAAATAAAGATCATCGTTCATTTATCAAACGGTTTTCTCGAAAATGATGTAAAAAATGTTCTTTTAAATCGACACATTTTAACCCGGACTAAAAAGTATCGTTTTTGACAATTGAATTATCGTAATTCTGAAAATAAATTGTCGCATGTCACACGAAGGACAACGTGTGCATCTTATAGTTTACATAACTGAACGTTTTTACACTTTTCTAGCTCATCTTATCATTAGTCGAAACAATTTATTCGAAGACAACAATATCAGATTCTTGATAATGCTAACTCTGCTAGCTGATCACAAAAATCGGTTAAAAAAATATTTATTTAATTTTTTTAAGTAAGTTGAGTAAGTTTAAAAACTTTTTCCTTAGTCCTCTATCTAATAATAAGAATTATTACCTCTATATCCTGGTTTTTGAATTTCATAATTTAAATGAAGAGTAGCTTGTTTTGTGTCCATTGCAATTTAGCAGTGCTTCCTAATTATTGCATTTTTAACAGTTATTCTTAATGTAAGTATTTTCCTCAAATGAATATTTGTTTGTATAACTCTCAACTTTTCTTTTTTAAATTTATTTCAAATGTATGTAAACAGTACACGGTCATTTATTGAAATTTTGTCATAGTAATAGGCTTCTCACACATTTTTTAACACGAAAAACACTTTTGTTGCTGAACAACTGAGAGAAGAAAAAAACAAATGTAAAAATGGAAATTAAGATTGTTTCCTTTCTTAATGTTTTGCTCTTTTTTATATTTTCTTTCTGTACATATAATGAAAATTTTTGTGAACCTCCTCACCTATTATCGAGAAGTTGAACTCTAATGAGAATAGACGCCTAAAGCTTGTGGTAGTAGTTTTTATTTCTTCCCCTGAGCAGTCGGCAGGAAAAAAGAGATCACCAGCATGTTTAGCTCTCTCTATGTTGGCGTTCTCTCACTGTGTTTATACATGTTCAGAATATATTTTATGAAAGAAGTAGAGTGTGTGAAAAGTCAAAAGAGGAGGGCGTACATTGAGAACTCATTGAGTGCCGCGCAGAACAATATATTTTAAAGTATCACATAGTAGCTCGACTGTGACAGTGTTGCAAATAGAGGTACTTTCAAAACTGTTCCAAAAAAACCCTTTTTGAAAATGCCCCTTGGTGTAGCACTTTGTAGCCACTCCCGAAAAACAATAACGCATTAATAATAGTTAGTTCATACACTAACCAAAAGATTGCCTGCTATATGCTATAATATAATTAAAAGGGTTATTCAAAGATTCTACTGAATTTCTTCACATCATACGTTTACAATAGGTGTAGCATCAAAAAAGTAGTGACCAGCAGTATGTTTTTCTAGAGTTATTAGCCATCCCAGAATATAATGCAGGTTGCTATTTTTTGAATAATTCAGAGGAAAACGAAGGTAGAGACCTGTGGTTTTCAGTTTTGAAAACTAGACACATGAAGCTATCTTTCCACAAGCAAAATCGATTTCCGGGAAAAATTTCCGAAGGTCGCTTTCCAGCAGATCTTTGGAAAACTAGCTTGGCTTTTCTCAAATTCAGATAGCAATCTATTGATTTTTTTGCATAGGCAGAGAGTCCAAAGTCTCCTCTACAAAACTGGACCTAAGCGACATCTTCAATAACCATGGTTGAGGCGCTACGAACATTTTTCTCGAAGGGTTAGGACTCCGTTATCAATAGGTTTGGGACTATCAGAAATGCATGAAAATATAGGTTATCAACTATGCTGAGCCTCGTGACAATGTCTGTTTTTAGAAAAAAATTGAGAACCTAGTGAAACCTAAGTTGTACGAAAACTGTTTTTTTCCGGCTGTTTTTAGCTAATATTAAAAATTCATAACTCACTCAAAATACATCAGACCTCTAGTTGAATACTTCAGGATGTACATTATTTGAACGGTTTTGTATTCTACGTATAAAAGAATCTAGAGAACTCTGTGGTTTTCTGCAAAGGCGTCTAGAAAACTGTTGAACAAATATTGCTTTTTCAAATTTCTCGCTTCCATAATGACGCTTAGCGGACAAAATTAACAATAATATCCTGAAATTTCCAACTAGGTCTGATGTATTTTGAATGAGTTATGAATTTTTTACTATTAGCTAAAAACAGCCGGAAAAGACAAGTTTTCGTACAACTTAGGTTCCACTATGTTCTCAATTTTTTTTCTAAAATGTCACAGATGAACTGAATTTACACGCTGTTTTTCGAAAAATCGTATCATACCGCAAAAAACCAGCAATATCGACCAACTGATAATACTTCATACTAATGCCGGTATACCGGTTCACGTTATCATTCATACCGGTACCAGATCGGCACCGATACCAGCACCGGTTGTACCTCTGTGTTCAACCAACAATTGATCTGGATATCATCTGTTTGATACGATTTTTTGCGTTTGGATCGTTAACATTGAATTATTTTTACATTTCTGCTTATCATTATTACTATTACAAACTGTTCTGTTAAAATTCAATCGATGCAGATACATTTTATTTTGAGTTATATAAAACGATTATGTTGAGTTAACGCGGGACAGGATAACATATTTTCTTGCTGCGCGTCTTATAATGTTGAATAATTATGTCAATGAAAACGAGATCGTACAGATGTAATGCAGAGTTGTAACCGGTCTAGAAATATTTCCAGACCGGTAAAGTTCATCACAACTTGCTTTCGGGTAATAAAATTGATATTACAGATAAAATTTTGTTCTGAATACCTAGAAAAATTTGGGAAGAGATTCACTATGTCAAATAAAAAAGCCAATTAGGACGAATTTGCATCTCAGTTAGGAAGCTACGATATCGGCATATCGAAAGTAAAACATTGGATTAATATCAAAGAAAAAAGATAAGAGCATATAAACGCCCAATACATGACAATGTTCCGATTACTAAGATATTTTAAAAAGTAAATAATATGCCTTTGCCTTTGAAAACATATTGAAAGAATAAAAAAAAGATAGAATTTACATTTGAAATAAAATTGTCACACTTTCTTTCTTTTAAAAAACCTACTAAGCAGACATGCATAATGTCTTCTTGATGAAAAATGAATGAATATGCACAACTTTGTGGAACCGATGAAAACCGGCCGGTCCAACTGACTTAATCGGTCTGGTCCGGACCGGTTACAACTCTGATGTAATGGTACCTTGCAGGGCTTCGAATGATTGGTTCATAAATTTTTAGGAACCCGGATCAGTTCGCATGATGTTCGATAAAAGTGTTTGGAACAGAGACCAATCTAAACGGTACGATGCACTGGTGTCCTGTTTAATAGTGCATGATACTCAATGAGTGAAGAACAAGATGACGAATATAACCCGACAAACGGAAAGTTTTCATTCATAACTAAAATATTTGCTTTCTCTGATATTGTGTAATTCATTCAAGTCAGTCAGAACCGACGTACAAGGTAGAGTAAATGTAAGGATCTCTATGGTTTTTCGTACAGGAAGGGGCTAAAGTTTTGACAAAAAGCGTTTAAATAAAATCTTGCATTATTACCCGGTACTGTTTTCTTTTTTAAACTTTTTGTTTTTTATTTTTTTAGGATTTAATTTTGTTCGACATGTCTTAGTTTCGTCGCGGATTTTTATCACTTCGTGATGAACTTTGTATTAAATCTTTCGCGTGTACCATTGTCATTTGTTCCAAGACACAATCTATTAAGATATCCGGATTAACATCTGGAAATTGCAGAAATAATTCGTCATTAAGCAATGCCAACGATCATCTGTTTTTTAAATCGATTTATTACCGAACAATCATTTTTTTCCTAGTGAAAAATTGAAAAGTTTTTTAGTCCTTTCCTTAAAGTAACTTTTTAGTTATATTCAGCACACCATCGATCCCGTATTCTGATATACATGCTGACTGTAGGCATTATTCAAATAAGTGCAGTTATTCAATAGCAATAAATGATCATAATACGATGTCTGACATATGGAGAGAATCGATAATGTCATCTAGTAATTATCGTCAGAAAATAAATAGATATACCGTTTGTTGGTTAGCATAGCTCATTTCAACGACTAATAATGATAATAACTATCATATAAAAGGATTCAGAAAATACTAAACTTTGTCACATGTGTTTTAAATGTTTTTGCTTATTACATCTGTTTAAATATTTTCTAACGGATTAAATCATTCTCTTATGTACATGTAAATTTTGACATTAAACAATGCACAAGATTATTCTTTAATATCAAAATTTCTAATTTTATCATATCTCGTAGTTTCCATTTGTTGTTTGAGAAAATTCAGTAATTTATTTAGAGAACGTTTTTGCTACCTTTTCTGCAATATTATTGTCACATGTAAAGTTAAAGTGTTGTAATTTTTTCATATTTTCTAATCAATTTGTCTTATGCTAGAAAAACGATATAAATTCAATGTGGATTTGGTTTTTTTTATTAGATAAACTTTGGATGCATCTTTAAACAGGTTTTATAAAAAAAAACAAAGGGTGTGTTTTGACGCTTTTATCTTTTTTCATCTAAAACTGTGCAACACACACACACACACACACGTATATGAAAAAGTATTTATTTTTTATTCGAGGATAAAGAAAAGGAGAGAAGAAGAGCTTTTATCAATTATCAATAGTGACGATAATAAATATATGTATACTATTTCACTATTTTCAATATTTCATTTCATTTTTGAATTTTAAATGATGAAATGTAAAACTCAAAATAAGAGTTTATAAAATACTATCAAGACCATATTAGACATGTCACAAGTTAGTGTTTAACAACTTATTCTACATTTATATATTCAAATTAAATTAGAATTAATTCATTTTTCTTTTATGAGTAGATAAAAGCGCGCGCCACGTCACCAAAATCCAATGTTATATTAATTCGTAAGAATGAACTATTCAATAATTCACATACCGATTTGTCAAATGGTGTTGACTCTCATATAACTAGAATATATGTAAGCAAATATTTCTTATTAGTTTTCAACAAAAATAGATAAATTCTTTAACTTCTTTTAAAAAGTGATTTAAATTAACGGTGAGTCTAAATAATTTCATAAAAGATAAAGTAGAAATGCAAATATCGATGATCATATCAATTAAGATCTTTCATTCTATATGCTTATTTTGGAAATCAATTTTATCCGAATATTTAGAATGAGGATGGCTATGACAATACTGGTTATATTAAAACTCATTCTTTTACATCAAAAGATAATCTACAAACAAACATTGAAGACGGACAAGGGAACCATACTAAACAGATGATCGTAGTTGATAGTACGAAAATGAAAAATTCAAATAAGAATAATGACGTTGATAATCAATTAAATGATGATAGTGAAAATGATAATGAAGGATTTGAGGAGCTTGAATTGAAGGGAAATAGAATTGGCTTACTATTACTTAAATGGAGAAATATGATTTTAACATTAGTTACAAAACACAAGGTTCGTAAGAAAAAGGCTATTTGTAAAGTCATCTTTTAACTAGGATACTATTCTTTAAGATAAAAAGAGAGTTGCGTTTTTTACCATTCAAAAGAAGAGACTTGATGTAATTAACTGGTGAGAAAAGAATCAACAAAATAACGCGTGATCCAGATTTAATTGCCGGTCTTTACAAAGCTTTTTTCTCAGATTAAACTTGATCAAAAACTTTTGTTTGAATCCTAAAAGTGACAGAATTTTGCGTAGATTTTAGTCATGTATTCCTTTTGAAATAAATATTTGCCATTTTTCTACAGCACTAGAAATGCTGAAAGCCATGAAAAACAGGGTTGCTCAGCTGAAGAATTAGAAAGTTTTGAATACAAATTTGTGTTCAGTTAGATAAGTGTGAAAATTTGGTTCTAGTAACAAAAGATGCAGAATTTCTCGGTTGTATCTGAAGGTATGTTTGTTTCTATAGATTTATTTGTTTTTGCTTTCGAATATTCAAAACATTGAAAAACATCTTACCAATAAGAGAGTTTTGGCGGTGTTTTGCAAAAATCCACGAAGAAAAGTTATTTTTTAAATATGAACATATCCAGAATTTCAAAGTCTAGCAGATGTCATCCTTTCCATGAGTTTACTGTCTGTGGTAATAAATGACAAATTTACGATATTTACTTATCCAAATGGAAGGCGCCAAAAGTCAGATAAAGAGATGTATTTTGTAACCGATTTCCATGACAATTAAACATCATCCCAAAATTTAGTTTTGTACCTGAAATATTAAGACTTAATTCTAGTTTTTAATGTCTTGTGAATCGCGCAACAAAATCAGTTTGAATACTAAAAATTACATTTTATTGTATACAAAGTGCTGAGCAACTCTGCTTTTTTATGGCTTTCAGCATTTCTAATGCTGTAGAAAAACGGCAAAGATTTATTTCAAAAGAAATATATGACTAAAATCTACGCAAAATTCTCTAGCTTTTACAATCCAAACAAAATTTTTTGATCAAGCTTAACCTGAACAAGAAGCCTTGCAAAGACCGGCAATTAAGTCGGGACTACCCGTTATCTTCAGACGGTGTATTTTGTCCGAACATTTTGAGAAAGATAAAAGAAAAAAAATAGATTTTATTTATACTTTTTTTTGTATGATGGTTTCGAACCATCTAACTTTGACCTACATATTGCTGAAAGCCGAGGCCTATATCTATCACTGTTCGGGCGTCATAAGAATTCTCCGAAGAGTCCCAGAACTCATGAAAAATATTACTAGAAATCTCAACACGAATAGAAGTATAGATTATCGAGAATGCTGAGTTTCGTGGCATGTTTATTCTCCGGAAGAAGTAGCAATATCTTATACTGGGTGGAATAGCCCAGTTTTGGATATTTTTATGGAAATTAAAAAATTCATAATTTATGCAAATAGATCGAAACTACTTCAGCATATTAATACAAACTTTACTTTATCTGTACAATATCTTAGATTTCAACAAAAGCTTTTAAAATCAATGAAAAATAATTTGGTTTTAAAGAGGTTTTTTAGAAATCTTTCTAAGTGAGAGAATGATGTTCCCTCGTTTTGAGTACAGGCTGCACGTCTTCTTATTTGGATGGCGAAAAATGCAACTCTCTATCTATTTTTGCTCAGAAGTATTCAAAAAGCCTGTGTTAATTCTGTATTCTGTAAAAGATAGACAGGAGTTGTAGTTTAGTTTTGTTACTTTAGACTGAGACTCGATATGGAGTAATAACATTGTTATCGATATTATTTATTATTTATTTTGGATTCGCTATGTCGCCACGCTTTGGTACTCCACCATTTCCAATTCGAGGAAATGTATTTACGGGAAATTCAGGTATGTTATTAAGGCCCCCCTCTCGTCAGGAAGATAAATTTTTTTTAAAAAGTAGATATTGAATTAAGCACATCATCAGATAGCCCACAGTATCTACTATCAGGATCCAATTTTATCTGCCCTTGTCGAAGGGGTATGGAGGTTTTTAGAGAGGTTTTCTGAAAACCTTGAACAGCTAACTTTTAGAAAAAGTTTTATTTTCCGATTAAAAAGCAAATCGAAAATTACGTTTAGTATACTGGAGAGCAATATAGAGCAACCATTTCTGCTCAAAATGAGATATTTCCCAGCTCTGAATCAGAGCCCTGCAGGTTGCCAATATTTGGCAACCTATGACCTAACCTATAAAAAATTTCACAACCTAATCCTAACCTAACCATTGAAAAAAAAAATAGAACAACCTATAACCTAATCTAGCCTATAACTTTCGCAACCTAATCCTAACCTAATCTATAGCTTTTGCAACCTAATCCTAACCTAACCTATAGGTTAGGTTAGGATCAACCTGCAGGGCTCTGCTCTGAATGATGTTCTTATCAAGAGTTATGAGAGTTTTGCTGGCAGCCCTAAAACATGCATCAGATACTGACGCCACCATCACCTTAACACCATTTCGTAGTTCCCAGATTTTGCGGTAAGGAAACATCGCAGAGAGCTCGGGAAGGTCTTAAATTGAAGCTGATACATGTGGTTAGAGGCTGACAGAGCCAAAATTTTGATATTTGATCTAGATTTGTGATTAGAAAAACATCTTTACCAAAGTTAATGAGACTTTTTCGAATTTTTGACTTTTGACGCTGAGCACTAATTTGAAAAGAAAAATATCAAAAATCCGGCTCTATCAGCCCCTAGCCACATGTGTGTTCGTCAATTTAAGACCAGCCCGAGCTCTCAACAACGTTTCGTTACTGAGAAATCCAGGAACTACGAACGACCCCATTTTAGCCATTGTTGTGGCGACATCTCACAAACCATGCGTGATGGAGCCAGACAAAAAATTTCCTCATCATACTTTCAAAAAGATCAGCATCTCCTAAAAGTTTGGTCAAGATCGGACTTTTAGTTTTAGAGTAGTTTCTGACTGGGGCAGGATGGGGGGGGGGCTTAAATATTCCTCATTTTTTACCAAACATTCGAAATTATTTATGTAAGAGTTTATTGTTTCTCTGTTTTACAGGTTTTGCATTGTTTTTTCTTGTGATACTTGTCCTATTCGGTCTCAGTTGGGAAAAATTTTTTGGCCGATGTTGTGAACGGTTTTGTACACGTGCATCACTATTATTCAATAAAAATGAGGTGTATGTCTATATTATGGAAAAATATCATAAACTTTATTGGTAAGCTGATATTACGTTCGTTGACAATAATATTTTAATCTTTAGTAGAATATTTTAGGATGCCGAATTTGTTGATTATTATTGCTATTGCTATCTATTTGGGACTCACTGTAAAAAATAAAAGAAATTATGTTTCGTTGAGCGGTGTAATTGTGTTAATAGTTTTGGGAACATTAGGTTTGTAGATACACTAATTCTTACTTTTAAAACTAATAAAAAAAATGATCTTATTTTACTTTAGGCTCAAAATATCCACATCGAGTAGGTAATAAGATGATTTATTATGTAAAATAACAATCTTATTCTACTTCCATTTATAAAATCAATTTAGATTCGATGGAATACGGTATTTTATGCATTTGTTCTCCAGTTTATAGTGGCAACGTTTGTTATTCGAACCAGTATTGGTTATCAACTTTTTGATTTCTTGGGCAATGAAGTATCAAAATTTATCGGTTATGTTGACGTAGGTGCGGAATTCGTCTATGGTGAAAGTTTTAAAGATCATTATTTTGTCTTTCGAGTGAGTCTATCAAAATGGGAAAGACTAGACATATCTATTGCGTGACAAAATATTTTAGCTGACATCGATTATTATATTTTTTGGAGCTGTTATTAATATTCTATATTATTGGGGTGCTATGCAATGGATTATTGCAAAAATAGCTTGGCTAATGCAACATGTACTAAATACAACAGCAGCTGAGGTAAAAAACAAATCATTCTCAAAGATACTGAATAATTGCTCATTATTTTAATTCCAGTCAATGAATGCAGCTGCTAATATATTCGTAGGAATGAGTGAAGCACCATTAATGATTATGCCGTTACTTCCAAATATGACCATTTCTGAACTTCATGTAAGAAACGTAACTGTTCATCATATGTTGGTAAACAATTTCTGTTAGCGTAATGTAGGCAATACTTGTTGGAGGCTTCGCGACAATGGCTGGTAGTGTATTGGCAACATTTATCTTGTTTGGTGTAAGCAAATATATATCGATCATTTACACATTGACTTATTTAAATGGTACCTTTAGGTACCAGCAAATCATTTGATTGCTGCAAGTGTCATGGCAGCACCGGGAGCTCTCGGCTTTGCAAAACTATTACTGCCAGAAACCCATCAATCGAAAACAACCTGGGAATCATTGAAAAATGTCCAGTTGTCGTTAGTTCTTTTTATATTCATAATAATCTTGCAATTTTCAATATTATGACTTTTACTTTTCAGACAACAATATAATGTGATCGATGCATTGTTAACAGGTATTAAATCTATTCCTCACTTGTGCTTGTTAAAGGGATGGACACAATAGAGGACCCCCCTACGATAGAAGACCCCCCTGTTACAAGGCCCCCCTTGAACTCATAACGCAAAAACCACGTTAGAAGACCCCCTTCTTTTATCGATTTTTGACCTAAAATATGTTGATTTTGAGGTTCAATCAAACACTAATCTTTGCGTTCGTCTTTTCCCTCAGCTGGTCCCAGGTCGAATTCACCCGATCGGATCCTGCCGGATCCTTTTAATTCCGATGATTTCCGGAGATCGGAATCTGCTCAATTCCTTCGCGTTCCGATATTTTTTTCTGGAGGATCCGGAGATATTCAGAACCAGGCGGATCCGTTAATTTCCAGTGACCGGAAATCGACGGATCCTGTGATGTGCACTTTATTTTTTTTTCTTTCCAATGCGGATAATATATTCACCGTTTTGTTTCACGACAGGAGCACTTTAAGTACGGCACTGCAGAAAATGAAAAATGAGAAGTTGTTCTTCTCAAATTCTTAACAATGTGAGTTATCGCTCACACTGTTCAACAGACGTGTTATACACGTCTTAGCTAGCGGGTCCCTCCACTCTCTCGAATGAACAGAGAGAAGAACCACTAGAAAATGAAAGAAAAAATTTAAGACTATTTTTAACCTTGAAATTGGTCACATTCTGCCAAATCCAGCGAAATCCGATTCTTCGGCCGGAAGGTCCCGAAAGACGTCGGATTCGGTCAGATCTTTTCCAACACCTTCCGGCACGGATTCCGAGCAACGAATTTCCGGCATGATCCGGTACGGTTGCTGCCGGATTTTACCGAATTCTACCAGCTTCCGGCATGTTGCGATGTTGTATCTGGCAGGATCTGACGCCGGAATGGACGACCCGGGTTAGAGTGAATATATAGCTGCTAGACAAAAAGAAGTGTGTGCGTACACAACTTTGTACACAGTGCGAACGCTCGATCAAGCGATTTCAGCTTAAAATCGGCTTTTTTTAGGGATGCTTTAGAAGACCCCCTTCAACGTTATGAGCGCTAGGACGCGATATAAGACCCGGGTCCTCTATTGTGTCCATCCCTTTAGGATTCTTCTTGGTTCTTTAGGAGCTGGTAACGCATTGCGAATATGTGGATACTTGATTGCAAACTTAATCGCTTTTATAAGGTATAGCGGTCTAAGTCATTTGATCTACAGTTAAACATACATTATGTGCTTTCTTTTAGCGTTCTGAGATTTCTTGATGTTACAATATCGTGGTTGTTCGCACTTATACATCATCCAGAAGTCAATTTTCAGTACATTCTTGGACTATTATTTTATCCGTTTGCTGTTGTTATTGGGATACCTCTGCATGATTGTCTAGTGTCATCGAAATTAATCGGTATCAAAGTGGCACTAAATGAATTTATCGCTTACCAAAAGCTTGGAGAGATCCGAATCCTTCGTGAAGCATGGATTAGTAACGGAACGTATGAACTTTATCGCAATGGTACCTTGACGATGCCCGACAACACCGTCATGCTTTGGGATGTAAGTTAAAGATACATTTGTGGTGGTATTGTTAAAAATATTTTTATTATTGTTTTTAGCACAGTTCGATTATTATACTCACCTACGCATTGTGCGGTAAGCTGCAAAAAGTATCTAAGTTTTAAATACAAGTTTCTCAAATTAATATCATGGGATACTTCTACACACGCTCCTCTCCAACTTTATACACGTCTGAAGTGGTAGTAATACCGTGCCCTCAGGACACACTTAGGAACGACAAATAACGCTCAGTTATGGGTAATTTTCCATCAGGAATTCAAACTTAGTTTACGACTCCAGAGTTTTGCTCATCATTCAATGTCCACACGGATGTCGTGCACAATTTGCATTCGCAGCGAACTCATGTTTTAAATATTTTTTCCTCTCTGATAGTTTCCTAGGGTATAATGTATAGACTATATACGTAGATAGTTAGATAGACTAATTCGTTCTTTATAAAACAGAAAGCAATTTTCATTCTTTTGAAGAGGTCTGATCGTTAGAACAAACAATTATCTTTAAGTTTGCAGTGAATATATATATTGTGCATAGAATGTCCACACTGGAAATTCCAGCTCAATCTGACAACAAACTTTAGGAAGGTTGTAATGGCCGACAGTGAAAAACTGAGTATTTTAGTAAGTGCATGTAAATCTATTGTAGGTAATTCTCAGCAAAAACATGTCGATTTTCTTTTTTTCAGTATGTTAGTTCTTATAAGAAATTTTAAGTCTGTCGCATGTTTCCTCTCAATGTTATAAAAAGTCATAACACCGGATAAGAGGGAAACAGCCTTCAAATGTCCATGAGACAAATCGTGCGGGGTATACTTGAAATGTGGAAGCTTTTGTAGTGCTAGATGACTAGTATAGTTAGGGAAGAATATCTAAAAATAACTGTTGTTTAGTTTTCAAGAGGACAGTCGCCAAATTCCACACAGCTGTGAAGAAACAAGAAGTACTAGAGATCAGAGCCCTGCAGGTTGCCAATATTTGGCAACCTATAACCTAATCTATAAAAAATTCCACAACCTAATCCTAACCTAACCATTGAAAAAAAAAATAGAACAACCTATAACCTAACCTAGCCTATAACTTTTGCAATCTAATCCTAACCTAATCTATAGCTTTTGCAACCTAATCCTAACCTAACCTATAGGTTAGGTTAGGTTAGATTAGGATCAACCTGCAGGACTCTGCTAGAGATCCGCTTCTTAATCATTTGATCAAGCTGGGAAGGTTCTTATGTTTAATTATGAATCACATTATATTTAATATATTGAGTTTATTGCACTCGCTACAGAATGAACGATTTTTTCCAATGCTATAAGCGAGAATTTTTTTGAAAAATATCAAACGAGAAAAACAGAGCTTGATGTCCTTTGTAGTCAGGGCACAGTGGGCATTTAGGCGGATTTTTGGCCAAAAATCGAAAGTGCATTTGATTGAGGAGTGAATACACTTTGATAGATGGCCTGTTGTATGGCGAAAAAAATTTTGTTCTAGATGCTAAGGAACGTGGGAAAAACATTCAGCCGAAAATAGGGCTAGAAACAGTGAGATTTCGGTAAAGAATTTTTACAACAAAATTTAACAGATCTGAATCCGAAAGTTAAATTAGAATATGAAACTAGAACTGTCCAACTATCGACTACTAAAAACAGTTTTTGTTTTAGACTTAAAGTCCCGAGACAAAAAATTTAGTTTTCGCGCTAAAAACGTTTCCATAGTGATGTGGTCAGTATAATGAATACGCCAAGTTATGCTATGCTTTAAACTGACTCAAATTTAGTCATAATGTTCTTCTACCTATCTCACATCTACGTAGTTAGCATAAATTAGCATAAATGTTCCTGGGTTTCGCTGTAAGTTTTCCAAAAACTCCTGGTTTTCAGGTAAAATCTATTCTTCTCAGGCCAAGAATGCTTTTTAGAAAATGTAAAGTCATATTCGGAATCAGCGCGTCAAGTTACATCGAATCAAGTATAAAACAATAAGTTTTGGATCGAAAAAGTATCTATGAAAATCTTTTCCCATGAACCCGCAAGACCGATTTTTCGAAAAAGTGATTTTTAAAAACGCCCACTGTGTAGCAGTTTGAGGAAAGTTTCTGATAATTTAGTGTTCGCGGTCGTGGCTCCCTCATGCACACTAAAATTGATAACTCTTGAGCACTGGGCAAGCATATCTCAAATGAATTTTATAAGAGGCTGTTGGAAACCTTTACATACATACTTTAGTAGTACTATTGATGCACATAATCATACCTCGTGACCTCTACAGTCTTTTATAAATTAAATGAACCTGTGTGGAAATATCCGTTTAGGCTTTGCAAATATTGCATCTATGGGAATATGTCTGGCTGTGTTGGGTACATTTGCACCTCAAAGAAAAAGAGCTTTAGCAAAAATTGCTCTTCGTGCTCTGATAGGTAAAAAACATACTGTAGATTATTGATGAGAAGTAACTTAATATGATACATTTTTTGTTTCTTTGAAGGCGGTAATATGGTCTCGTTGCTAACAGCAAGTATAGCTGGTAAGTTGGTGTCACGAATAAACTGGACGCTATAAAATGACCATGTCGAATAAGAAAAATTGAATTATGATGACAAATGATAATATAAAAAATGGATTTTGATTCGGCACCGGTCAAAGTGATCTGACTAATAATACGAGTCTTTTTCAATTGTAGGTCTATTATCTAATGCGAACTAATAAATGTGAAAGCTATCGATAAGGACACAAATTAACATCATGAGTCTACTATTTATAAATATCAATACTACTTCTAGTGTGAGTAAGTCATATGGCGTTATTGTACTATTGTCCTTCAGTATTTTGAAAGAAACAATCAAAAGGGGAACAACGATCCTCTTGCTTATTTATTTTTTCGAATTCTATTTTTTACTATGAGTTTTTTCGAATTTCACGTATTTTGATATATAATAACTATGAAGCACAATATTGTATCTAAAGGTATCTATCTGGCCTGTTATCAGTTAAATAGGGGCGTTTTTATCATCCGATAATCAGTAAATTGGACACTGTTCGATCTATCTTCAATGTAGTCCGATAATTATTCACACGATCTCTAAGTCTTATTTGCACTAATTATTGATACTTCTGGTATTGTTTCGAGCACAGCATGTTCAATTTAACTATACGTTGAAACTATTGACATTGCTGATTTTCATTTGATGCTATAACGACTGATTTGAAGAGTCATCTGAAGAGATCGAACATTTTTATTGAAACCGTCTGAGTTGTTCGTGTTGTTGTGAGTTCAATATTAGAAGTTGATTATCTGGCATAGTTAAGCTTGCTGATGTCAGAGAGAAGATTCAGCGAGTTTTCTACGATTTTCGGTTGGGTAATTTCTAAGGTTGTCGTTAATTCTAATGATGTTTCATCAACAATTGGCCGTAACAAACTTTTTTTTATAAACTTTTTATTCTATAAACGTTTGAGCCAAAAGTTAATTATAATTCTGACATAGTGCCTTTGGCACCGGCTGCGAAACTTTTTAAGTTAGTTGCTAGTTTTGTATATAGGCTGTTTATGTACAGTCGTCAGCAGATCGTCAAATGAGTGATGCCAGTCTATGAATCTATTTTGTTCTTCTTGATGTCAGATATTGAAATGGAAACAGGCATATTGATGCAAAACTTGAATTAATATTAACCCTTTCCAGCCGGCTACTAAACCAAAGTTGCAAAAAATTCGTTTGTAGTATATTCAGTATACCTTGGTTACCGATATAACAAAAGTTTATTTTTCGAATCCTAGAAATGCTTTAGAAATGCTTAGTGTTCTAATGGCCTGATGAAGTCATCATTAACAGCCTTAATAATATAAAACAGTTATTCTTTATCAAAAAAATAAGATATTTGTATTACGAGCGAGCGAGATGAAATACTCAAATACTAATAAAGGAAATATGACTATACTTGTAAACGAAATATCCAAAAGAAAAAATAGAAAACTAAAGGGACGGGAAAAAATACTTAAGTGAAAGGAGGACTGCAATGGTAAAACATCTAAAATAATAAAAATGACCTATGTCAATCACGCATACAATATATGACTTATGATCGCGTGTCGAATACATGTATTATAACATTACTTTATAAGAAATTACGTCTGGCAGCTGGAGACAGAAAATGTATTTTATAAAATTGTTATCTCTTTGTGACTGGATGTTGCCGAATGGCAACAAGTACATTTTACTATTGAGAACTGTTGAATATGTTATGTTAGCAGTGCTGTATATAGTAGTATTACTAAGCAAAATTAGTCACTAGTTATTCTCAGCATTAAATCTTTGGACAGGAACAAGAAACAAGTTTTTATGATTTGTATATTCTTCTAGGACTCTACGTGTGGATCTAATTACTCGTCTGGAAAAAGAATATTTTTTGTTCTCGAATATATGCATTCGCACCACAAGGTATAAAGATAATTATTCAGCTTTAAAAAAAGATATATACTTTCACAATGAGTCAATCCTCACCAAATGGCAACATCCGGCTGGAAAGGGTTAAGAATGGAATTATGGCAGATTTATTCATACACAACAAATAGGAATAATATTGCTAGGCATAAAAGATCATTTTAAGCAGATTTGTAGATTAGAATGTGAAATTGTTTTTCATAACTATTGATAAAAATTAATTGATGTCATTTCTCGTAGTGAGGAGCACAGTGGGGAATTTTGGCTAGTCACGTGGACATGTGCTGGAAAAAGCGGTATGAAAGTCTCTAAGCACTGTTTTTATATGTCTTCGTATACGCTCTTTTCACTGGCGCATTCTTCAAACTTTCGAAGTATGTTCGAACTGGTTTTTCAGAGATCGAATCTCTGGAAAACCGGTACAAACTTACTTTGAAAGCTTGACGATTGCATCATTGAAAAGAGCGTATACGAAGACCTATAAAAACAGCGCTTAGAGACTTTCGTACCGCTTTTCTAGCACATGTCCACGTGCCAAGTCAAAATTGGTATGTTAATACGCTGAAACCGTCGCATTACACTAAATGGAAACATTTTTTATTCAGAAATACCTCAAACACACATCTTTAGATGCAGTTTTTCACGCTGATTCCAAATCTGTCATTAGTTTTGCGAAAAACATCTCGAAAATCCGATTTTTTGAAAAAATGTATATCCATGAAGAAGCGCTTGGGCAAGTTTGGACTAATTCTGCAAACACGTCACACATAGACCAACATTTCCTGAAAGTTTCATTCAATTTGGAGCTTGGGGGAAATTGGAGGATAAACTATACTGAACACACCTTGAGAAAACTCACTTAGCGGTAAAAGAATATTTTTTTCACACATAAATAACTTAAACTCAAAATTTCTTTTATGAATCGTAAAAAATAAATGAAGTATAAAATAAATACAGGTAAAAAACTTTTACAATATAAAAAAACAATTGGAACTGATAAGTAGAAATCGATTTTTAAATTTTCATAATCGCCACAACAACACTTCTCAAACTGCTGACGTGTAAAGACAGAGAAAGATAACACGAAAGTTCAGCAGAAAAAATTTTAACGTCAAAAAATCCAGCAGCAAGCATTTTCCCTCAATCATTTTTGACCGAAAATTGTTTTTCAAATCATTGCCTACCGAAATAGGCATTGTATGTGTAAAACGTCAAACTAAATTAAGTTGTTGATAAGAAAAAACCCAACATTGTTCATTGTGAAGGCGCTGGGTGCTTTTGAAAACAATATTCATCCCATTAAATAAAAACTAATAGATGCTTATTAAATTAGTACATTCTTCGCTCTTAAACTATTTCTGTTCTTTCTTACCCATCCTTTACGAATTTTTATCACGTAATGGTTTACGCATGGAAAACAAATGACTAGTTTCAATGTAAGAGTAATCATCGGCAAGATCAAACAGAGAAAACCCATGGTATTTATACTTTTCACGAAACCACGTGTTATCCAGTGTGGCGTTGCCATAATAAAAACATGACAGACGGCGAATACTAAGGTTAGAAAGCCAAGTTTTGATTGAACGAAACGCCATTCACGCCAGTTCAATGTGTCGCCAATCGATGGTGCAGTACTCACAGCAAGTATTGACATTGTAATGATGGTGAGAATACCGAAAAGGGACGCTGCTTCTCCTTTCCAAGTCATCATTGTTTTCATTGAAAAATGTAAATCTTTCGTCAGATTTTGTGGTATTATAATTTCTGTTGATCGAAACCAAGATTTATAATAAGAGGGACTCATCATAAGAATGGACATAAGTGAGTGAATGAGTGCAACGTAAAATGTGATAACACCAAGTTGTTTACGTAATAATAACCAACGATCTAAAAGAACGGGAAATCGCCGATATTTAGTACCGGAAACAATTTGATAGATAGCTGCCAGACTTCCTGGGATATAAGTTAGAGAAAGCAGAGTAATGGCAGAAACACACATTGGTTTGTTTAATACACAAATAAATATTTGATGCCATCCAAAATTTTTCTGGTCGATGAAATTATAATAGATAATGTACAACAACCACAATGTAAAAACAGTGAATGCAATGATCAGAGGCATTTTCCACTGCGGAAATAAGGACAACACATATAATTCAATTTTTCGTGCTGCACGAAGTGCACCAATATTAACTGGTTCAAAACCCATATCTCGAGCTATAGAAGAAACTGTTTCTCTCGCAAATTGATTATCACCTGCAATAAATACACGTCTGGAACCACCAGCTACATCGTTTTCCAACACGAACGTCGACACCGTATTGAATGCTTTAATAACATAAGCATGTGGAACAATTGAGCTAAGATATTCAGCATTTGATAAATTGATTTGTTGAAGCTTTGTCTGATTTGAAACATCAACAAGAATTTTTCCCTGAAATTTGTCGGTATTAACAACAAGAATACTCTGGTAAGATTCCATATGTAATGCAACAAATATGATTTGATTTCTCTCAATGCATTGATCTATACTTGTCACTTCAACATCATTCAAATACACATCATCGTTTAGTAATTTTCGACGATCATCTGGTTGTCTACTGCCAATTAGAACTTGATAGCCAGAGAATATGAGACGTTTAACTAATGCTCGCCCCATGTTTCCTGTTCCAATGACACCAACGCATCGAGTTTCGTTTTCCATCTTAGACAATAATTTTTATTTTATATAAGTATTTTGTCTAAAATACAAACACAGTATAATACATACTTTCACAGCGATAATATTCTGAGAAAACCATCGACCTCTTTCATAGAATTCGAAATGTAGATCTTCGCTCGCTTATTGGTTCATCGTATTACTTACACTTCTGGTAAACTTTTTTCTCTACAGATTTATCTAAAAAGGATGGTATATTTTTATATGCTTAAAATCAAGCACTCAGCTACTATCTCTTTTTGACACAATGGCTGATATGTATAAACAAGCTAGTGTGATGTAGATCTAAAGACGTACTTTTTTTATGATTGTTCCTCTAGGTTAAAATGCAGAACAATTTCTATGATATGCAAAATAGAATATATATATGACAGTCTTACTTCGTTTAGAAAAGAATCAAGAAAAAAGAATGTATGCGCACTCATAAACAGAGTGGAATCTTGGAAGTATGATATATGAATCAGCGAGAATACAGTTTTGTTTATCGGTTAAAGAGCCAATCAATTTCTGGATACACACAACTTCCACAACGCGAATCGTATACAGTTTATTATATATATTTATATAGAGGAAAATGTTAACTATCAGTTCTGTATGATTTCTAAAAGTAAAGTTTCAGATACTAATAAATGTCAACAATTATTATGATTAGAACAAACTTCAACTAGTTTCTATATGCAGTAAACTCCTAGTGAAGCCAGTTTAGACAGACTTGTGAAAGAGAAAAATCCTTGACACTTGTCTTACATTTAAACTTTCCGTTTCTGGCGACATCTTTGAGAACTACGTAGTTTTATCTATAAAAACTCGGCTGTTACAGATGTACAAGAGACTATATTGTTTTATTATTATTTGTCCGATGTTCTTCTATTCACCATCAAGACGTAGATAAAAACAGTTTTCATTTAGCAGTTAATTATCTTTACAAATAAACTGAAATAGTGTATTATTCAATTCGCAATACATTTAGGAAACCTTGTCCATTGTCCATCACTCTGACATTGTATGATGAGTGGGCCGGAGAAGACATCATATCTATAATTATTTGCACATTGTAATTCAATTGTTCCACCAAAAAGAATACCACCATTTTTACTATTTAAGTTCTGTCTAACTATAGCAACATTAACCAAGGCTGATTGTAGAAGTCCAACATTACACAAGGGACTCTCTAGAAAAAAGAAAATAATGATGTGAGATATACGTGTGTTCGAATCTAACTTTGTTACCTATGCAAATTGGTAAGCTTGACCATCCACTACTTGTACAAATAACATGTAATGGTCCCGATGTTTCGAGTCTGTTGAATCCACTACTACATGCAAAATAAAAGTGTCCAGCATATTGATTATGTCCAAAATTGTACAATGTACTGTTTGTGACTATACTATTTGGCACGGATGGTGTACCCAAACATCGAGGAGCATTATAAATGTTTGTCGTTGTTAGAGATGCAATAATCATTGAAGTCGTTGATGTCCCTATTGAACCAGACGACACTAAAGAACAAGTAATAAAACGAGAATATTTACTTCAGCTTGCGTCTTTTCCTATTACGTACAGATACATTCTGGCACTGTTGTCCACGCTCCATTCTGACACTGTCTTCTTGCACCAATTTGAACGTTAAAAGTATAACCGTTATTGCACACGTAGTCGATATAAGAGCCCGATGTCACATAAGAGCCCATAACAATAAATATATTATCTTTATTCGATACCATACCATTTTGAATAAAAAGCATATTTGGATTCCAAGCGCATAGTGGTTGAGCACCAGGCATCGTCGTCGTCATTGAAATTAGTTGACAACGTGGGAATACACTCCAGTTATTGTCAGCATTACACGTAATATTGAGAGGTCCTCCGACACTCATATAACCATCGATGCACTGAAATTCAACATGCGATTGATTGGTTACAACCCCTAGTTCGGTTGGAAGTGGAACCAGCTGCGGTGTGCCGACAATGCGCATTCCACTAGTTTGTGTTCTATCTTCAATAAATGCTAGTATTTGAGACAAGAGACAACGAGATCCACTTTCTAGAAAATAATAATCTCTATTATACTAAAATTTTACATTTAAGTGAAAAGAAAATTTGTACTTACTGAGACATCTTGGCTTTGTTGACCAAACGCCATTTATACATTGAAATTTACCATCAACTGGATCAATTGTATAGCCGGGTAAACAACTAAATTGTACCCAACCTAAACAAAAGCACGTGAATCAAGTAAGAAGAGTGTAAATAATCAGTAACTACCCTCAGCGGTGCTATCTGCTGGATATACAAATACAAGAGGTATTAAAATGTAGCCATGCGTCAAATTGAATATGTCTGGATAATACGGACAACGAGTGGACACCGTCGAAGATGGTGTAGTTGCTGGATTTAACCCGGGCCATTGTGGCATAGTGGCCATTATGGAAGCGGTTGTTGGAATTACTGCTGAAACGCACTTAGGAAATTGTGACCATCCAGTTGATAAACATGTAATCGTCAACGGTCCACCAACATTCATCGCCCCATTACTGCATTTTAGGGGGACAAATGAGCGATAGAAAATTGTTTCATTATTATTTCCGTCGGTTGTCAAATTTGCAGTGCCATTGTATTCAATGTTGATCATTGCTGAGAAGTTATACAAAAAAGCAAACAGCAAAGTGGCACTACATCTAGGTGTGGCTAATCAATAAATAGTGAGATCAATCAGTGACAGAATATTTTCATAATGACGGTGATACTCACATGTACATTTTGGTAGTGTTGACCACACACCATTGTTACAGAATAAAGTACCGTTAGTTGCTGTATCCATTGTATAACCGCTTATGCAACGGTATTCAACAAAGCCTTGTGCTAAACCATTTTGAATGAATAAACCATTAGCATTATTAATAATATATGAATTTGAAATATTAAATAATGCTGTGTCATATTTACATCCTAATTGAGCTAAAATATTTCAACTGAAATCAACGGGTTAACATTTACGACGATAAACAAAAACAATTGACTATTTACCAACACAGACACATAGTAAAGCAAACAAATATAACAACTGAATTTCCTGTGAAAATTTGATTAACATGACTTATGATGAATTGCTAAACCCAAAAAGTTTAAAAAAATTTCGTTGATGTACGAGGGGGAAGTATCGAACTATATAAGAGAGTGTTTTATTTAGAACTCAAACATGTACTTGATTTATCCCACACTATCATTTTGTCAACAGAAAAATTTTATTTGTTTAATAATGATTTTTTTATAAGAAATAATAAAGTGTACACAAGTGTATTTAATGATAATGACTATTCTTTCGACTGTTATAGATGGCATCAGCCATCGTTTTCTTTGAGTTCGGATGTATATATGAGAAAAAAATGTGTGTTCAATTTCAAAGTTGAATACGCTTCACAAGAAAGAAACTCTCTGGGGTTTTTGTTAGTGCTCAAAAAAAAAAATATCGAACACCAGTAAAGAATTCAGCTACTCATTACTACTGATCTCTTTCAAAAAGTAATTATAAGTAAAACATGTTAGTTGATAGAATCTTAGTAAAGAAAGACAGTCTTTTTCATGCTTTTTTTGTATCAGTCAAACATGGAACCATTCTGTTTTGAAACACAGTCGGTAGGTGTAATGTTACTTGTGTCTTTTTTTCCGTTCTTCTCTAACGAAATACACTTATGGTTGGGTCAACAATAGACGAGCGAAAAACAGTCTGCGCATCTAGTTTAACGTACGTTAATATCCAACCGTTCGGAAATTAAAATTTCATTTACTGATTTTTTTCTCAGCATAGAGTTGTTTTTCAGCGTTTAAAGACAAGACAAGCTATTTTCTGATCAAATGACTAAACTTTTACACAATATTGTCAAAAATTTTACAAAAAATATAATATCCTTTCTCTCAATATAAAAACATTCAGTTATGAACATTTGTCATAATTTAATGTGCAGCTGTACAATTTCAAGTACAAACAATCTTAGGCATTTGTTGGAACATGATGTGGAGCATCGAAAGAAGCTGCATGAAAAACCTTGACTTCTGAGTTTCAGCTGAATCGAACTGGTTTTACTCTAAAAAGAACTCTGTCTTAAAATAACTGGATATATCGAACTAATCGGAAACGACCTTATACTGTCTTTTTTTTAAGACGAATTTTTTTCTAGAGGACTCAGCCTAGACCAACTTTCTCACACAATACGCCTATATCTATTATGAAATTTATTGAAGTATTAACCTTCTATGAGATATACGAAAATCATTTTATATTTGGATATTGGAAGCGTTTTATCAAAAAAATATGATGATGTTGATTATTTGTGCTTGTGTTGACAAATTTTTTCTGTGACGCTACGATTGCTACCCGTTCAAGACACAAACAGAGTGGTAACGCAGTTCGTAGATGATCCCATACTAAGAACAAAATCAGTAATCTTCCTGAGAAATCAACTCAAATCAAACAGCACAAGAGAGTAAATATTTTTCATTCAATAAACTGCTTTGGTTTTCAAAGAAATCACAAGAACCCTTTGGTTTTAGAGTGGTGATAAGAATTACTTTTTATTCTTTTAAAAACTCTTTCCGAAGTTCGTAAAAAACATATAAATTTCTCGCAAATCCTTTCTGGGTTTCAGGAGATTTTACCTCGTAAACCCTTATAAGTTTTCTAAAATCAAGTACATGCAATGATCGAAAACTTAATCTCGTGATTAAAATAAAAATGTATATCAAATAAGTGAAGAAACAGAGAAGTGACGGTATCTTTTAAAATTACATCATCTTTGATTCGTTTAGGATTAATTAATGTTTAAGTTTATGAAATTTTAGAAATATGATTTTCATCTGAAAAACGTTTATATGATTTTTGAATAAGTGACGAATATATCATTGTTAACATGTTTAGTAATTTATCAAAAATAATCTATCGATTAACAATGTGCTCGTGTTTGTTTGTTGAAAAAATATTTTAAATTACGAGCACAGACTAAATCAAGGCATTTCACAAGTCATTTGTTGTTTACATAGTGATGTTAATATACCACAAGATACATTTGCTTTATGATATTTTTTACTAGAACAATCTTAACTATTAATATTTCCATTTAATCAACTTGAATCGAATCACAATCTTCAGTAAGCTTCCATTACATTTAATCAGGATGATTCGCTGTCGATCTAATAATCAAACGTTTTCAAGGATTAATTTAGTCATAACAAACTAACCAGTTATAATAGTAAAAAAAAATAATCTCTTCTCTTTGAATTTGCAAGGTTATTTTGAAGTATAAGTCTTATTTCATTATGCATAATCTAATCAGTATGTTTTGTTCAAGATTCGTAAATAAAAGTTGCCGAAATCGATAGAATTTGATAGGTAAAAGATGATCATTCAAGTACGTCAAAGATTAACGATATCATCTTTAGAACAATCAGTTCGACCTGTACATTTAATTCAAGGTTTGTAGATTATAGAGCTGATATGCTCCATAATACTTCTATTATTACAAAAGTATATTTATTAATATAATTTGTAAATTTTTGTCTTCAGTTATAGTGTGATTAAGCTAAATATATTACTCGTTATGTAAAACTTATATAGTTGACGCAATGATCAATCGTGTTTAAAAGAAACGGTACATCCATATGTATATGTGTATTTAGCAGTGCTCAAGAACAATATTACCGTTCTATTATTCTTTTGTGACAGATTGTAACCTAGCGTTTGTTGCGCATCAATGCATTAAACCTTGGACATAAACTATCGTATACAAACTAATTAAAAAAGACCCACACACACACAAACAATTTTTAGGGGAAACAGGGAGCTCAATATAAAATAATAATAAAAACGTAAGCGTCATTGTCATTTTTCTAACAAAATAGTAAAAAAAATACTTGAAGTATAGCCATATGCACATTGATCAGATTTACCGAGAAAATCACAAAAAAAAAGACATAGCTTGAAATCGAAGCGCATGTACGAAGAGAGGCAGAAAGCAAGAAAGAACGCAAAACCACAAATATTTCAAGGTAAGATTTTGAATACAACATCCATGAAAGGACACAAGTGAACTACCAGCAACATACACATATACTCGAATACATATTAAACAAAACATCTTATCACTTCTGTAGGGCATAATAAGAAAAGATTTTTTCAGAAAACAAACTATTGTTAATATTATTATTATTTCAACTATTTGTTAATTGACACTAGCTGGTTTGTTTGATAAGAATTAATTACAAATTAGAATCCTTCAATAAACATTTAACAATAGTTTTTATCCTTTTTTATTTTTTAGCCTATTTGAACAGATCGTGGTGAATTAAACGAGTAAAATGATATTATAATCTATCTCCAGGCTTATCTAGTTACACTTAGTCTCCAATATTATGCCTCTACAAGACGTATCAAATGATCCTAACATGCTTGGTTGGCTACAGACAGCCGGACATGGTCATCTATTAGCCGATCGATTTCGTTCAACTTCTCCTACTTATGGTGGTGATCATCATCTTGATGGACCGATGCGTTCATCATCTTCTCATGTGCAAAATTCAAGCTTCGGTAGTCCAGTGAATTTTCAATCATCATCATTCCATCAACCCTCTTACGGACATTCACCACCGCCACCCAATTTTCAATCATCATCATTCCATCAACCCTCTTACGGACATTCACCACCGCCACCCAATTTTCAATCATCATCATTCCATCAATCCTCTTACGGAAATTCACCACCACCCATTCTACCGCGTCCACAGGGAAGCTATGGTGGTATAACATCAAATAGTCCATTACGATTTTTATCATCGCCATTAAATTATAACAGCGGTACCCAATTTCTTGCTCCGAACACTCATCAACAGCAACTGGATGTAGATATTGAAGCAATGCGTCGTGATCCAAATACAAGGGTAGTACAACGACCGCCGGGTGAAGACGTTGTCTATAAACAGCGAGTATTCGTACGTTATCTTCAACCACCGACACCGCCTGTGGGTGGAACCATTATCGTTCGTGAAAAACAAGCACCACCTCCACCACCTGATCCACCTATCGTTTTACGAAGAGCACCACCTCCTCCGCCTACTCCACCACCTGTGATTATTCGAGAAGTAAGCCAGTACAAGAAAATGAAATTCACAAAATATACATTCACGCCGAGCTTTAAATGATCTTTTTCTTTCATATTAGCGTCCACCGCCAGTTCCACCGCCTGAAGGCACTACTATTATTGATAAAATAATTCCATCATTTCAAAAACCACCTCGGCAAGTCATTGTCGAACAATATCCACCGTTACCACCAAAACCCCAAGACGTTATCATCGAACGATGGCTGCCAGTACCTCCGCGTCACCGAAAAATTCTTTACGAACGTTTGCCTCATTCGCTTCCACCACAAGCAGCAGCACCAATTATCATTCAACATGGTCAACCAAATGTACGTGTCGTTAAAGAAGTTATAACCAACGCACCACACAATCAATTAGTTCCACATGTAGCTCACACAGATATAAATCACATTCTTTCGGGACTTGGTGTCCAACAGTACCAAACGGCTGGATCGTCGTTGGTAAGTCACACTTTGGTATCTGTCATAGGACACACTTATACTAAATTTCTTAAAATATTTCAGTTGTCACCATCTTCCCTCGTTTGTTACAGTCCATATTCTACAATGCAACCGACAATTGGTTATAGCACATCACATCAGCCTCAATCAAATGTTATTGTGTTACAAGGTGGTGCTCAACACATGTTACCCTCATCAAGTTACGCAGCTCCGATGACATGCGTTGTCAATAATCCAAATATTCTTTCCACTGGTCTAGGATCTTATGGTGGAGGAATTTCGACATTTCCAATGACAGGCACTTTGCCCGGTCAAAGTATTGTCTGTCATGTGCCAGGTACATGCCTTTGGTAGAATTGAATCTATAATTTTAGAAATTATTCCTAATTTCTTGTATGTTTAGATAACGTTCCAGTAGACAGTGTTTTAAGGCAACTAGGAATAGATCCGGTGGCATTACAACGTTCATCTTATTATTCGCCTCACGCAGGTACAGGCTCATCAGTCACATATGCAATACATGTTTGTTAATGATTATACTATGGAATTATTCACAATTAATCCACGGCATGAGCTCCTTTTTTAGTTTGATCACTTAATTTTTTATTTGATTCGCTGCTCTGATGTTTATGTTTTTGTTGAATTGCTCTTGTAAATAAATAAAACTAGTTTTGCTCATACTAATTTGCTGCTCTATTTTAGTTAAAAAAATTAACAATTGTCTTAAAAAATTGCACAATTGAAAGATATTCAGGTTTGATTTTAATAAAGAATGATTACCCATGGTATTCATCGCTCTTGTGAACAATTATAAACGGTAAAAGTTTATTGATGCTGTTCAAAAAAATGTTTTGTAAATCA